GATTGGGCAAAGGAGAGCCCTCTTGCCTAGTTAGCTACTCGGTCGATACTTTTTTCCAGCTCATAGTTTCGTTAAAAAAAAAAAAGCTTCACTGGAGCATCCTGATCAGAGACAGGTTCAGATATAAACACTGAACTAAAGAAGCATGTCAGATAATTATTTAATCGGCTCTGATTAAACAACAATTTCCGATTCGATGTGTAATATGTAGTATTCATGCTAGCTCTGTAAACAAACAAGCCGGCTGATGAGACGTCACGTCTTTTACTGCACATGCGCGTCACATCAGTGCTGTGTTGCATTCACACAGGGGTCTGATACAAGTCACATTAAAAATGTAATGTGAACGTTCACGCAAAAAGATCGGATTTTTTCAAAAAATTGGAACTGAGCATTAAGACCTGCAGTGTGAACGTAGCCTGTGATGCGACAGTATATATATGTGCAGGCGGAGCATGACATCTGTCGTCATCACGTCACCTGCCTAGAGGTGGCTTCAGCCAAGACACGCAGGAGCGTGGGTTCCCATACATGATATTGTACCAAGTGAACTGACTGAAAGGGAATTCAACAGTCAGCCTGTTCTAAAAACAAATTTGGATTATCTGAATTTAGTTCCCACAGTCTTAAATGCTGGATATCTCAAACTCTCCTGGATGTTTTTGTAAACAGATGCTCTGCCCCTACCATCCTCTATCCCACTCATATTTGTGAACTGTCCAAGGGTAACCAAGGCCGAACTGATGAACTCTGCATCCCTTCAGGAACTATGGTGGGTGTGGCTTGGGGGGCTTGTTTCACAGTCTTACTCAAAGATGCAGACACACATAAACAACACTACATGGCTTCAGATACACAAACACCTTCAGATCACTGTCTTTGCTGGCTGAAGTGTGCTCTGTGCAGAGAGGTTTTTTTCTAACCCATATTGTGTCCTTGTTAGGGACAAAGTGTGAGATGCTTTTTTATCCTCACCTATCCTCATGTTGTCTTTTCTTTTTTTTTTTTCTAATGGTATTATCTCTTTATGGCTGCAGAACCCAGGCAACTGTTCTCCTGTTTGTGTGTGTTTGTCTCTCTCTTGGATGGGTTGTTCAGAACTGTAATTTCGTTGTGCTCTGTACAATCACAATAAAGTATATTCTCTTCTAATTATCTGCTACTTTTTCTCCCCTTTCTAAGTCAGTCTTGATCTTTTTTAGAAGACTTCACTCATTGAAGTTCATAAAGTCTCCTGCTATTGTCATTAATAAAAAGATTATTATTTAAATGTTGACTCCACCAATTAACAATAGATTTCCACGAAGTTCACAGTATATATATANCATCAGGAGATGTAGTTTTTTGTAGTATTTTAAAATTTCTAAGAAGAACAGGTGTTATGGACAGGTTAAAGGCATCTGATCCATAGTCCAATCTGGAAGGTGGCGGTAATGCACCTAAAAGTTGTAATCATTAAGAATATTGTTGTAAACCAACAACCAGGACAAAACAAACAGTAACTTGTTAATTCTCCACAGGCAGTGAGGACAAAATGAACCTTTTATCATCACTGAGGTTAATCTGTCTGTAACAAACCTCTGTCCTCACACTAACATGTTGTCAATGTTAGCTACTACATGTTGGCTACACAACACTCCATGTTTTAGGAAACTTTAGTTTTTCCTCTGGTCTGGTCCTGACTTGGTCTCAGGTTAGGTGGTCTTCACTACTGAAACAACCAGCAGCTAAAGGTCAAACTGATCACTTTTCCTGCAGCGGTTTAGACATCAGGCAGGACATTAAATCCCTCTGCTTCTGAAAACACAAACTCATTTATTCTGGTTGTAAAATACACTTTAAAATAAGAACTGAACTTTGACATCCTTTCAATATTCTGCTTGTTTAATGTGTTTAACGTCTTTTATTTAGTTTATTTGAGTATTTTTTTTATATTTAAGTGTAAGTTTGCTGCTGGAGGCAAATTTAATTTAATCTAAAATTTGTATTTTATGATTAACTGACAGTCAGGTTACAGAACAAAGGTATTTTACTACACAAACTGACAGCGTCTGTTTAAACAAATGTTATAATCGTTTAGATTAAAGCACATTTGCAAATGAAACAATGAAACAGTGAATGAATGAGTGAACACACAGACGCAGCAATAAAACCTGATGAAGAGCTTGAAGTTTAACTGACTTTATATTTAAATACAAACTGTGATAGGAACCCACACACACACACACACACACACACA